AAGCAAAATACAAAATATGTCTCTCCTCCAACCAATGAAGCACATTGAGATAAAGCTTGTTGCATATTCTTTTCACACGTTGATATTTAATTCTGCAGAGCAGATATAGACTTCACTATCTTAAACGTTACTACAAAACTTTATTGTCAATAAATTTCTTTTAATCTTGAAATATGAGTCACTGCTCAGTGACGTCAATACGTGGGCAGTTAGTCAATTACTAAGAAATAAAAACATCCTGGATTTGTCAGAATTCTTTTGTTGTTATAGCAGAATTTCATCAGATAATTTTATCCCATAATTTCAGCAAATTATTCCATGATATGGTGAGTAGTGTAGTAGATGGCGTGTTTGAGACCATTTTGCCGGAATGGTCCTAAACCGCTATCTAATATACTACTCAGTAAAGTAAATGTAAGTATTTCCATTTTGCCGGAATGGTCCTAAACCGCTATCTAATATACTACTCAGTAAAGTAAATGTGAGTATTTCCATTTTGCCGGAATGGTCCTAAACCGGTATCTAATATACTACTCAGTAAAGTAAATGTGAGTATTTCCAAAGTCACTTTTGACCTGTCTCTTTATAGGAAGGTGTAATACGAATCACTCAAAACTTTTTGCGTAGTAATGGAAGGGTGCAGAAATTAATGTTCACGAGAGGTTTTTTTTAACTGGTTGAAATTTCAAAAGGTGATTATTTTCAGAGCAATCATAGTCCTGTGTGATTCCTCATTAGGCAGGTGCAACAACAGGATTATATTACCGTATGTTTGAACCTGACTAGGACATAAAATTTCAGCTTGGTCGCTGAATAATAAAGATCTCTTATCATCAGCTTTGAAGAAAGAACCAGGCTTAAAGACGCGGACCAATTTGAAATTCTATACCTCGCACTTCCCTTTAATAAACATTTCAAAAGGAATTTGTTAGATATTGGATCACTTTATTGACAAGCCAACGATCCAATTGAAAGGTATTGTTTTAACAAAACACGGCCTCATACTGTCCAACTCGAACAGCTGAAAATTTTTCATGCGCTATGCTAAACTCTATAAGTTGAGTTTTGCGGAAAAATTCCTCCTTTATGAAAGGTTATATTAGGTTTTCTCACTCGGTACTCAACTTTTTTATTTTAATCTTTTTTTAAAAACTCCGGTTACATGCACTGATAACTTGAAAATTCTTAATGAAAGTGTTTAAAAAGTAATATCTTGATGTCTCCTTTTTGCAACTAGTTAGTTTGTAACTAGTTGTATGACTATCAGAAATAAAACCAGTTTTTGCTGGAAGGATCGTAAAAGTTTTCCAAAATAAGTAGGAGACTAACAAGGAGTCCGAGTCTTGAATAATCAATTAGTATGAACAATTCTTAAACAAAACAAAGTGTATGGACTTGACTAATATGTAAAATTATGTCATGCATAACCGCAAATAATTTTGTAGCCCGCAAAAATTAAACGAACTATTACGGCATCTTTCCAAGTTCAATGTCTTGCCTTACTGGAAACTGCAGCTCGAAAATCCAGTTCGAAATCTGACTCAAAATCCTAACTCGAGGAAGTGTTTGCTCAAAAGTAGAGTTTCGACTTCTTATTACGACCTCCAGTCGCCAACAATCGGTTTTCGATCGCTGTTCAAGCGACTGCTCGTTTATGGCAGTTTATATTAGGTTTCCTCACTTGGTACTCAACGTTTTATTTCTGTCTTTTTTTTAACCCCAGTTACATGGATTGATAACTTGAAAATTCATAATGAATATGTTCAAAAAGCAATATCTTGGTGTCCCCACTTTGCAACTTGAATGTTTTTAGTAACTCCGGCCGTTATAATTGAGTGAGTATCAGAAACAAAACGAGTTTTTGCCAGAAGGGTCGCAAAAGTTTTCAAAAACAAGTAGGAGACTAACAAGGAATCCGAGTCCATTGCTATGGATGAGTACGAAGATTAATGATACCATACAAGACCGTGATTAGCATTACCGCAAGGCTATTAAATCGAATTCCCACTTCCATAGGTCAGAGTATAGCTAGTGGGCTTAGAAAATTGGTGAAACGTGAAATAAAGTCTGCCAAGTCTAGATATTACTATGACTTAATCAGCGATCGAGCTAAGGGAGATTCAAGTAGATTGTGGAAGGCTGCTTCGTGTTTCAGTTGCAGCTTTTTATCAACTCTTTATATAGTTTTTGCACATATTTTTATCTCTAGCTATCCTTCATTTTACTGTATATAGTTAAATTTATTACTTTTAATATAATTTAGGACCTTTTCTGAAAACCACAGTGATGTGATGAAAGTGTCCTAATAAAAGATTATGATTAAGTTTTGAGTCTTAAATAATTGATATCATCAGCTTTGGAGAAAGAGTCAGGCTTAAAGACGCGGACAAATTTGAAATTCTTGCACTTCCCATTAATAAATATTTCAAAAGGAATTTGTCAGATATTGGATCACTTTATTGGCGAGCCAACGATCCAATTGAAACGTATCATTTTCAACAAAACCTCATACTTTCTAACTCGAACAGCTGAAAATTTTTCATGCGCTATGCTAAACTCACTTAGTTGAGTTTTGCGGAAAACTTTCTCCGTTATGAAAGTTTGTATTAGGTTTTCCTACTCGGTACTCAACTTTTTATTTCAACTTTTTTGGAACCTCAGTTACATGCACTGATAACTTGAAAATTCCATATGAATATGTTCAAAACGCAATATCTTGGTGTCCCCACTTTACACCTTGAAATGTTTTTAGTAACTTCGGCCATTGTAATTGAATGAGTATCACAAAAAAACGATTTTTTGCCGGAAGGATCGCAAAAGTTTTCAAAAACAAGTAGGAGACTAACAAGGAATCCGAGTCTTGAATAATTGATTAGTTTAAACAATTCTTAAACAAAACAAAGCGTATGGACCTGACTAAGATATGGAAATTCAGCTTAGTCGTTGAATTAGAGAGCTACACTAACATACAGACAAGAATCGCCAGCATAGAAACATTTCCAGAGAAAAACGGTAGGGAATAATTTTGTATAGTATCCCAGTTACAGGTAGAGCTATCTCAGAATGGCATGGCTACGCAAAGTTATTTTCTGGTAAAGGAAAAAAACTACTGGTGTCTCGATGAAACCCAGAAATCAAGTCAAAAAATTTGACCAATTTTTCCTGGCAACAATAGGCTTAATTACCGTGGTAAAAGAGTAGAGTAGGATGGAAGGTTTATTGGCTGAGTACGAGAGTTCTTACGAAGGCAGCGGACCCTTTCATTCCTTTTTTTACATTTCGCCTCCATCTATGTGTCCCGCCTTCGCCAAACCTTGAATATTTTACGAGAAAAGTTGAAACGTGAAGAAAACTCGTTTCACAAGTGCTGGAAAGCTACTGCAAGGACTAAACTTCCATTATATTCTGAAAAAGAACTCGTTGATTGATAAACTAGAATTGTATTGCTCCCACGAAGCGACTATACTCGAAACTTCAGTTTTTCTAACCTCGCTACGGTGGTTTTTGCTTCCTCTATAAACTCATGGTTGATTATTGACTGATTTTTTTCCTTTTGCTCGACGATACAGCAGCGTAAACAAATCTTTCAGAAACTTGCAAGCTCCTGTCTCACGCCAAGTTTACATGCAAGCACTTTTCAGCTGCCCACAAATATCGCGGAGATCATTTGGGTGAGAATAGAATGAAACGGTCGTGTTAGAAATCTGACTCAAGTGTAAAACATATCCTGATTCCCCGCCAAGATTCCACTTAGACAGACACTTAAAGCAGTCCCCGAAAGGCCCTGAATACACTTTTTATATTTAACTATTATTTTTGTTCAATAATGTAGTTTGAAAATTGTCCGTATTCCTTTTGGTAAATGAAGCAACCAGGTCCACTCAAGGACACTAGAGTTTTCACATTCCACTCAACTGTCTACATTCCGCTGTTTATATTTGTTTTCTCACTCGGTATTCAACTTTCTATTTCACTTTCTTTTATAACTCCAGTTGCATGCACCGATAATTTGAACATTCTCAATGAATGTGTTCAAAAGGCAATTTCTTGATGTCCCCACTTTGTAACTTGAAAAAATTAGTAACTCCGGCCGGTATAATTGAGTGAGTATTAGAAATAAAGCGAATTTTTGCCGGAGGGATCGCAAAAGGTTTCAAAAACAAGTCAGAGAATAACAAGGAATCCGAGCCTTGAATAATCGATTAAGTTAAACAATTCTTAAACCCCACTTGCATGTAAGGATGACTTGAAAATTCTTGATTCATGTGTTCAAAAAGCAATTTCTTGATGTCCCCACTTTGTAACTTAAAAATTTTAGTAACTCCGGCCGGTATAATTGAGCGAGTATGATCAGAAATAAAGCGAATTTTTGCCGGAAGGATCGCAAAAGTTTTCAAAAACAAGTAGGAGAATAACAAGGAATCCGAGTCTTGAATAATTGATTTAGTTAAACAATTCCTAAACCCCACTTGCATGTAAGGATGACTTGGAAATTCTTAATGAATGTGTTCAAAAAGTAATTTCTCGATGTCCTCACTTTGCAGCTTGAAAAATTTAGTAACTCCGGCTGGTATAATTGAGTGAGTATCAGGAAGGATCGCACAAGTTTTCAAAAAAAAGTTGGAGACTAAAAAGGAGTCCGGGGCTTGAATAATTAACTAGTATAACCAGCCTTCATTATTCATTTAATATTCCATTTCCTGACCAAAATGCAAGCCAAGCTAGTGGTTAAAAACCACTAATATTGAATGACTGAATACTTTTTGGCATTGCACAAACATCCGTTTTCCTGAAATTTGAGGTCCAATTTGGCAAATATATATGATTTTTCTCTACGCGCAATTTGTAAAAATATAAAGTCAAATTGCAAACATAAATGCATGCATGTTGATCGTAAACTCACGAAAAGCCATTCTACAGATTAAAAAGAAGTTTAGGGCAATTTTTAGCCCAGCAGATTTGTTACTTTTTTCCTTTTCAGGGAAGGTTTTTTCCTAAACATGCGTCGAGAGGAAATGGTCAAAAACGTTTTGTACGCAGCAGGGCTGTTGATCAAGAGCCTGCTGTTATGCTGTACAGCTGCAGAGCAATGGGAGGCTACGGGCCAGCCGGAAGTTTCCAAGTTTGGTATGATGCTACAACGCCATATTTTCAAGAGGATCACGGAGGCTGGTCTTTCAGATGTGTGCTTGCGGGAATGCTATGCTGACGTCAGATGTCAAAGTTTCAACTACGTCTTTACGCAAGACATTTGTGAGCTGAGCAACCGAACCAAGGAGGCCAGACCAGAGGATTATGTTCCGAACCCTGAAAGATTTTACTTTAAGCGAGATTACAAAAGAGGTTTGTAAATTTTTGACTGTCTTCTTCCCTTTAAAGACATTTTGACACTCAAATTTTTTGGGAAATTTCAGAAATTTGAGGAAATGTGTCACATTACCTCCCTTCTTTCCCCAAGTCAAGTCGCCCTCAATGTGAGTTTATTCTCCCCTAAGACGAATATCAAGTCATGGTTGCTATGCTAATAATTGCTTTTTTCTTCCAGTCCCTCTCGGTTCCATTCCTGAGCTGCCTGCGGAGACTTGCCATGAAATCAAAAGTAGCGAAGGAGGACAAGCGGTTAGCGGCAAATACTGGTTTCACTCGATTGTACCCGAGAGTAGTTTTCTGGCTCCCTGTGACATGAAAACTGATGGTGAATTCAACTGTTTATCAATTCTACTACAGACCAAAAATGGTTTACCACAAACAAAAGCGTTGACAGAGATGTTATGGGTAGACTGCGACCCCCTTGCCCCCCCCCCTCCCAAAAACACACATAGATAATTATTCAATACCAACCGTTAAAACAACTCTATGGTGACAAAATTTAACGAATAGAGGAGGGGAAATTTTGCTTCCTGTAGGGGTCGTAGAAAGTAAATTTCGGCTTTTGGTTCGGCAGTAACACGGTAAGGAAGAATAAAATGTTAATCCCTCTTAGGGGTTAAAGGGTTGAAGAATACGTCTCACTTGGCGCCTAACTTACCACCCTCCCCCCCTCAAAAAAGAAACAGTTTCATTGATTTTTAAAGTTTGTTGCTTACAACTATGTCGAACTTTCTATCTTGATCAACCTTAATTCTTCTTTTTTCATTATTATCTTATTTTTATCTCGTGGTTTCCTATCATTCTAAAAGAGCATTGACTGGTACAAATAACGAGGCGAGATATGATTATGTGTACTGGGTTTAGAAATCTGGAATGTCACACAAACACGCTTTCATAGCTTTATCTCGTTTCCATGAGCGCACTTCCCAGTTCACACATGTTGTGCCTTAGATCGACGTACGTCACACAACGGTTGTCACGCTGTGATTCGTAAAAACGAAAAAAACGAAATGTAGACATTACCACCACCAAGATGATAAATGCAATATGATGCCAAAACTTCAAGGTAAGGCAATCCTTACCTTTTCTCCCTTTTTCGGTTATTCGTATAGGTGGCCTTAATAGTTCCGTTATTCTTACCAGCCTCGACTACAACAACTACACAGGTAAGCTGCTTTCCTACCTTGAGCCAGTCTTCCTGAGTTCGGAGCGGAGCAGGTTTGTGAAGTGTTGGCACGCTGAGACAGACGGCTGGGCGGCATCGACATTCCACAGCAAATGCGATGGGAGAGGCCCTACAGTGACAATCATCAAAGTGAACGATTACATATTTGGTGGATATACTGATGTGTCCTGGAGCGGAGGTAGGGATATGAAATTTGTTAAGAGGGGACAAGACAATTTTATAGGATCAACTATCGTTCCTTTAGGGATGGGGAGGGGGGGGGAAAGATGGTGTTGGAGGAAATTTGAAAGGATGCTCCTCTGATAAGAGCTCCTATCCTTTATTATTTCATGTTAATTATTAGGCCATCAAGATTTCTTCACACCTACATCGTCTGTAGAAATGTTTCCTATTTGATAAACCCCTCAAGTCTTCCATAATTGTTTTTGGTACTCGTTTCTAAACCAAAACTAGTAAAATATCTCCCTCCCTTTCAAAAATCTCTAGTCTGAGATAAAACTCTCAATCTAGCTCATGATAGAAACTGAATTCCCCCACCTTCCTCAAGGGGTTTATGTTTTCTTCTAACATTTTAATATACAACTACATTGTTCTTCTATTTCAGCTAATTCTTGTGCAAGTTTTTCCTACGCCAGTGAAGCTTTCATCTTCTCTCTCTATAACGTCAAAGGATACAATCCCGTAAAGTTGACACAATACCGAAATCGGCAATATGCAATGCGCAGTTGTAATAGGCGTGGACCCACCTTTGGCAGGGGGTGCGGTCATGATATCTACATATCTGACGACTCTGGAAACAACCAAAACTCCTACACAAAATGCGGTTGCACGTACACGGCACCCTCAGGGTACTCCACTGGTGACTGTGGTTTTTTTACAGGGGGGTCTCATTTCTCTCCAACGGACCTCGAAGTATTCTATGAAGCTGGTAATCAAGAAAAACATCCCTTTCCAAGGATAAATAGTCAATATGGCCTGTGGCAAAATCAAATTGTGTAGTGTAGAAATATTCTCGGAAAGTTGTGTTGCTGGCGTACGGATAGCTTACTATTTTGTCATTTTTTGTCAAGGAATGTGTAAGCTTGTTAAGTCTATCTTGCAGCATTCACTTAAGTTCGTCACATATCACATTAAGTGACGAGCCCGTGAGGACTTGCCTGAATTGCCGCAGGGTTTGTGGGAATTACATGAAAACGAAGTTGGCGGGGCCACTTGAAAGAACGCCTGAGCTAACAAAAAAATTCATCCATGCTTTGATGCTACTCTGGCTTAAAGATTTAATGAATGTAACCGAGATGTTACAATGCATAGACTCAACGTTTGGACACTCCGGTGTAATGCTTTCATCACAACCCCTGATGAGGATCTGATTGTACACCTGGTTGTTTTGTGAACTTTAAAATAAATTTCATTCTCTCTGCCGCCTAAAATACCGCCCGGTAGACAGGCTGTGGATTTGCTAACTTGCCGGATCAGAAATGTTAGATTATCATATCTAGCGGGCCAAACGAGGGGTGATGAAATTATCTACTTTAGATTCAAAGGCGACACCACCAATCAAAGCTTTTGTTGAATTTATTTGGCCAACTGTAATTTTTCCTTTTCTTTTCCCACCTCAGGCCTCGGTTTGTCCGCCATACTTCGAAGTCTTGATTACAACCAGTACTTGAAGATGCTTTTTTCGTATTTGGACCCAGTGCTTATCAATAAAGAACGTAGTAGGTTTGTGAGGTGTTGGCACGGAAAGACGGATGGTTGGGCAGCATCGACATTCCATAGTAACTGCGATGGGAGAGGGCCCACAGTGACCATCATTAAAGTTAACAGTTATATCTTTGGTGGATACACTGACGTGTCCTGGACCAGCAGTAAGTAAAAGACAAGCAAACATCTCTCACATGTAGAACAGATAGCCAATCGATTAGTGGTAGACCTTGCTTGTAGCAGTGAGTTGATCCTAGAAACAGAAAATATCACTAACAACTGCGATCCCAAAGTAAACAGACTCGTAAATAGCCTGGAAACGTGTATCAAACGGGTTTTGACTTAAAGTCTTGTTTCGGATTTGATTTTTGATTTTGATTTTGATTTGATTTGATTTGATTCTGACAGCTCCATTTCGTGCCATTTCCCCTTGTTTCGTTGTATTCATTATTCATATTGGAGAGCTGAAACGAAGGATGTTTAGTTAACTCTCTCTTTAGATCGTATGCTGCCTTTGAATAAAACTTCAGACCACATTTCAAATGCTTTTTTTGAAAAGTGAAAATATGCTCTTGAGTTCTTTGAAATTTTATCGAACAAATTGTTCGGCTCTATTTCGGCAAGTAAAAAAAATCATTTTTTATGGTTATCATCATGAACTTTTTCTCATTCGTATAGTTTCTAATGCTCCTAAATCTTTTCATTTTAGGTCCCTGTGCTTATTCTTCAGCCAGCAAAGCTTTTGCTTTCTCTCTTTACAACGTCAAAGGATACAATCCTGTGAAGCTGACACAATACCAAAACAAGAAAAACGCGATGTACAGATGTTCCTCTCACGGACCCACTTTTGGCTCGAGACATGATATCTACATATCAAATGCCGCAAAAAACAATCAATCATCTTATACCAGATGCGGTGGCACGTACTCCAACCCCACGGGCTATTCAGCTGGCGATTGCAAATTTTTCACAGGAGCATCAAATTTCACTCCATCTGACATTGAAGTTTTCTTCGAAATAATAAACTAAACACTAAAAACTATGCTGTCTAAGTAAGTATCAAGTAAGTATCGTAACAATAGAGTTAACAGGGTGAGTGCCTCCTCACACAAGGCCCGGTTAAAAAAACAGTATGTAGTTTTAAGGGGGGTTAGAGGTGGATAGAGACATAAAAAGTCGGTTCCAGTCTCCAAGACAGTAAAGACATGCGAAAGGGCAGGCAAACCCAAACGGCGGTTGTGGTTCTCAGGAAAACAGCTGAGCGCCTACGGACTGAGAGATAAGGAGATTTGAGATTTGCGTTTAGCTTTACCTAGCCCCGATATTTAACACATGTTAAACTAACCATGAAAGAAACTTCAGTTTGTATAGAAACATTTTGTCGGACGGTTGATTCTTTTGACAGAGATGTGATTATGTCATCCAGGAAGGTAACCTTTAACAAGGCCTCTGAATGAAATTTCGACCTCACTTGTTCTTGATTTATCAAGCACGTCTGAACCTTAGGTCGATATCGAGTTATACAAAGAATTGGTCAAATATGATTTAAAAATTATTCGAACGTCAAGTTTATATCTGATCAAAACTGTGGCTGTCAAAAATCAACTGTAATCCTTTGAATGTAAATAAAACTAAGTTCACCACTCGTTTATTTTCATTGTGTTTCTTTCACCGTAGTAAGATAACCTTCGGTCTCAGTTTTCAACGACTGATTGATGCACAACAGTATTAGAGCGATGAACCCAAAGTAAAATGTTCGCACGTGCACGTCACGTGCCAGATCCAAAGAGTAGTTCCACCTTGGCAAAATTTCCCGCAGCTGGGCTTTTCCCGCGCTTTTTAGTACCTCCACATTTTCCCGCGCTTTCTTATTGCTTGGTTCTTTCTCTCTCTTTTTCCCAATTTCATCCATTCAATGTTTCCTAGCGCCAAACGATAGCTGTATACTTTCCCATGTTTGTCACTTATTAGCTATTCCTTAGAAATCGTATTATTCTGCACTGGCGCTGCAGTAGCATGCATTCGAGTTGCCACTTTGCCTTACTATAAATATGAGCTCGCGAAAGTTTTTTTTGTTTCCTGCTTTATGGTAGCCATTGCATGCTAATTTCATACCATAACGCCAAAGATGGATTCTCTTTGCATTGATCAAAGAAACGAACGGATGCAACTCAAAGAGTCGTAACTACCATATAGTCTGTTGATGTCAGTGTTAACTGACTATGCAGTCTAAATAAGTACTACCTGAGTATAGTAACAATAAACTTAACCCTTTACACCCTAACATCATTATGCATATTCTCCACACTGTTCTCTATACATCTCCTAAAGTGCTGACAAATTTGTTTGACAATCAAAAGTTTCTTTAGTCAAAGATCATTTTCATTATTCTCATGACCTAAATGTGTGTTTCAGGGGTGATAATGTAAGGAGAAATTTCATATTAGTCACTCTTAAGGGTCAACAAAACTTGTTCTGTTTCTGCGATCTCATCACACCGCCGGTGAGATGAGATCCCGGCAACATCGTTAAATTTGAGGAGAAAAGAGTGGCTCTCTCCTTCGAT